CTGTTGAGGATACTGAGGGGAAATATTTTGTGGTGGAAGAGACACACAGAAGTATGAAAATTGCTACTGATCTTATGATGAAGCACTTTAATCATACTAACGGTATGTCCACTGTTTTTGTTCCCTTTATTCCTCTTCAAACTACTTATTCTGGGCCGGGTCATGGGGAGGCCAGGCACAGTGCATATCACTGGGGCACATCCTGGATGGGAAGCTGGTCCATCATAGGGCCCATACACACACTGGCACTCTATGGGAAATTTTGAGATGCCAGTTAGCCTACATGCATATCTTTGAATTGTGAAAGAAAACAAGAGCTCTCAGCCCACAAAACACAAGGAGAACATGCAACCCCCAGACACACTCAGGCAGTGGGATTCAAACCCACAGACTTGGAGGTGTGAAGTGACAGTTCTACCTACTGAGCCACCATGACATCCTGACTTACGGTGCTTTTAGAACCAAATGGCAAGAAAGTGTTTTATCAGAATAAATGCAACTGACTCTTTACATCACACTAACATTTGTAATAATTTGAGAGATGCATGACATGACACCATTTTCCATATGATTACATCCCATACAGTGTTGTGGTGATCCTGGAGCTTATCTCAGAAACTTCAGGATGTCAGTCCATTGCAGGGCACACAATGGGCAGTACAGACACATTGGAAAAAACCTACACAAACACACACAAAGGTGTGAAGCCAATGTGCTACCCACTGAGCAACTCCTGTTAACGTCCAATTTGTTTTTATTGTTTGGATTCATTCAGGAGAGGAAACTAGTGGACTTCCTAGCTCCAGAAAACTGGAGTTTCTTGCCTCTGATCTGGGCTTTCTATGTGAAGTAACTGCTCTCTGTTTAAATCACATATTTTATCTGCAACAGTGAAATACATCTGCAGAAAGGAAAAAGATGAATCTATAAAAAGTGTCTCTAGCACATGTATTTCTTATCACTAAATGCACAAAAAATTACTCAAATTTGAACATTAAATCTATAAATGGCATTTGCATTACATGCTCTTCATTCAGTCTTTATGGCACTTCCCAGCTGTTGAACAACTAACTAGTAAATTGTTCTTTTTTGATGTTTCGTATGTCACAGGGATTCGTGTTTATCAGAAATTTGCTGTATGTGAATTAGAAGGTGACAGCCTGAGCCGGTACTTCCTCCAAGATGCTTATGAGGACGAGGAGACGAGGACCTATGACATCCTGGAGCAAAAATACAAACCACGTGTGCCAGAGTTGATCTGGAATGAAAAACAAATGCAACAAAACACAATGATTTTCATAAATGTATACCAGCCTCTTTGTCTTAAGGTGTTAAAGCAATACCTCCAACAGGACAAGAATGTATTAATGAGAAGAGGTACAGACCACAGAGATCTTATTAATAACTGTCAGATGCCAAAACAAAGTGTTTATTCTGATGTGTCTGGATGATGAGAGCATTAGGGGGGGGTCAAGGGGCAAAACCGGCCCCCCAACATCATTAGCAGAAGAAATCAGGCTGGTAGCTCTGTGTATGGCTTTGTGATATCCTCACTCTGTAATAATGACACTTCATTCAAGTGAAAAATGGCAGAAAGAGAGAGAGTGACCTACATTTCACTTTTTATGTTTTATTTTATTTTTACAATTGGCTCTAGATAACCTAATTGGACAAGCAGTTACTGAAAGTGTATGCTATTGATGTGTTTCACACAAAGTTGCTGAAATTCTCCATAATTTTGCAGAATACTGTTTTAGTTATGTATCTTAATGCTTTCACTGCAAAGTGGACAGTTATTAAGTATCACCGGTACAATGGAAATGCTCATGTACTCCACAGAGCGACCCAGGGTCAGGGTGACCCAGAAGAGAGACCCAGGCACTGGGGGAGCACAGGTGTGCTGCTTGGCCACTGGCTTCTTTCCCCGGCACATCAACATGACCCTGCTGAGAGACGGCCAGCC